CTAACATTGCTGAAATTTACTTCATTTGAACTTTGATGGATAGTTGTCTCATTAAAATATGGTCTGATAAAGATTGTTTTATATTTTGTAATTGACCTGTTAGTTATCTGTATTTATCATAATTTTATACTTAGAGTAAATAACTTATAATTTTTACAGTATGATAATAGCATTAAATTTACGTGAATTCCATATTTTACAAAACAGTGTTTAGCGGGCTGATATGAAAACTTTATCACATGCCTCCAGTTATTATCACATGCCTGTCCGTAACGGTATTCTCAATACTACAGACGATAGACACACAAATGACACCCTTTTCTGCCACTGACAGCACACCAACAACACCTTTTTGTACGCATGGCAGAAAAATAAAACTCAAACGCAAATTCAAATTTGCCGACAGCCCGTCGTACGTGATGGACGCCAGATATAATTGTATATAATATATAATCGTGACATATCATCAAATAAAACATATAAATCAGTAATCAATTGGCATTTTCATTCACCAATCATATCATTATGTACAAAACACAGCAAAATATCAAAATATTGGCAGCTGTACGTTTAATAAATTACCCCTCATTGATAGTCAAGGCCGACCAGGAAAAACCGTATTACGGAAACCTGTATCCGAATCAATGCTCGAGCCTATCTCAGGATAATGACGTCGGACCTCGTCGGTTCAAACAGTTAACGAAAAGCAAAAATATTTGTCTAACAATAGATATATAAACATCATTTAAAATAATGGAGTTTACTCGGTCAATACGACGGCTAGAAGTGAAGTTACCACACAAAAAAACACCTTATATATGACCACAACTCAGCCCCCTGATTGGATAGATGTACATCGGCCTACCGAAAATTAACGATTCCATACCGAGAATACAACATTTTCCCGCTATACTGATCAAAACGCGGGAAAATATTAGTATTCTCAATACTACAGACGATAGACACACAAATGACACCCTTTTCTGCCACTGACAGCACACCAACAACACCTTTTTGTACGCATGGCAGAAAAATAAAACTCAAACGCAAATTCAAATTTGCCGACAGCCCGTCGTACGTGATAGAAAATCAAAGAAAGGGGTAATCTATAGGCCTAATACCTTAGATATCTTCAAACGTTTCTCAGTGGAATCTACTATGTAACCGTCTTTACTGGAGTCAGACCTCCATCTGCCGTGCTTCTTTAAGCATCAGCGTTAGCCGCCATCGTGGCCCCACCGGATCTGAATGAATGAAGACCTATGTTTCCCTCTGGACAAATTGTCCGGATTCTCTTAAGAATTGACTCTCTAGCCGCCGTGTAACTTAGTTTTTTATCTTTTGTAATGAGCTTGCATGTATTACGAGATCTATAAATAGGCCGAAACAAATAAAAGTTTTGCTGACCAGAATCACCAAAACCTGCTAACCTAGTGTATCTTATAAACATTGTGTAAGGACAAGCAGATGAAACACCCCTAGAAATCAAGACTTCAGAACTTTGTCTATATTGGTCGGTTTTACTTTTTTGAATACACAAAATTAAATGAGACTCGTGTACTTTAACATCACAAAAACGTAAGGAACTGACCTCATCATATCTGAGAAATCCTGAAAAACTCAAAATCATCATTGCCAAATCCCTTATAACAAGTAAATCTGAAGAATCTTTAAACATGTCACAAAGTTCAATTAAAGTATCAGGAGTAATTGGATCTTTCTTTTCTGTCTTTTTTGATGCTACTCTTTTAGAAGCTTCAAGAATCGATGTTACGAAAGTGTTTGTTGTAGGATCGTTTAGACCATTTATCTTATGTGCCCATTTAATACCATAAACTGCGTTAGAAACAGGGCGACAAGTTGAATTATTGTTCAATAAATGTGTTAAATACAGTGCAACATGAACTGGCTGAGCTGGCAAAGATTTGTGACCTTGCAACGTAATGAAACGTTCCCACCGTTTATATGAATTAAAATATGATTTAACGGTATTGTCACTTTTAGAGTTGATCAACAGTTCACACATCTTCGGATAAAGCTCGTATATATAACTGCCAACTTCTATCCCACTGTCCTGGACGGTCTCCTCCACTGTACGGTCTAATTCAACCCCTGTCAAAATAAATAACGTCATAAGTATATTGCAAACTAAAATTCTATTCTTATAGCAATTAATCTAAATTTTAAGCGCTGTTGTCCAAATACTCCGCACTGACCTCTGCCTCTTTTAGTCAGATTTTCCCCTTGAAAAAACTTGCTATCAACTATGAAATCCTTAAAATTTCCAATTCGATCCACCAACATGGGCCAAAATGGTGCCGATGTCCATTCCGGGATGACTAAAGTGCCATTACATTTTTCTATACTAATCTTATTTATTACCTTTGGAATCAAACTTGGTGGTGGAACTACCCAATTATTATGTCCACCCCATTCTACTGTAAACGAGTCTATCCCAGCAGTCCCGGGGCACCAAAACTTTGAATTAAATTGCTTGCACTTGGCATTGTAATCATGCGCAAACCTATCTATATCATGTGGACCCCAAACATGATTAAGGTACAGAAAAACCTCATCTTGTATTTCCCAGTCATCACAATCTGTTACCTTACTTAAAGTATCTGCATACTGGTTTGTTTCTCGTGGTATCCAAACCAAGCTCAACTTAATTGCATTCTCTCTGCAGAATTCATCAACGAACAAAGCGATTTTGTGCAAAACCATCTTCCTGCTACCAATATTAAGTATATGTGTGATATTCAGATTATCTGTGAACACTCTGATAATCTTACCAGTGAGAATATTGACAAAATTTATCAATATTCTTTTTACAGCCTCGAGCTCTCTCCAGGTCGAACTTTCCGATTGTTCCGTCAACGACCAACTACCAAACATTTCCAAAGGTTCGTCCTCTGAACCAGTGGTAACAAAACCACCGAAACCTGTACCAGATGCATCGCTGAACACATAATAATCTTGTGTTTCATTATAAGTCAACTGACTTAACCGAGATCCTATCTCGTTAAAGCTTTTAGCTTTATGTTCCCAAAAAGTGCATTCCTTGAATGCGTCCGTACTAACTAGTACTTGGGCGTTCCAACTTGCCCTTTGTAATATACATTGATACAAATACCTTGTTCTTAAACGTGCCTGATCTCCTAATACAGGCTGCATTGATATGATCTGTCCTACAATACTTGCAATGAATTTCACCCGGAAAAGCCTAATCCCGTAGTGAAATTGTGTCCTGAAAACTTCTAAAATTTTTAAAAGCTTTTCTATTCTTTTTTCGGTAATTCTTATAACCCCTTCTGTCATATCCCAATGAAAACCCAACCATTCTAAACTTTGAATAGGGGCCCAATTGCACTTCTCTGCTGCAAGAACAAAACCAAATTTCTCCAAATCAGAGTGAATTTTTTCGCTCGCTAACATAGCCTCTTTCATGTTTTTGCCCCCGCCGAGGCCATCGTCTAGATACATGACGATTTTTAAACCTGTACTTCTCCCATATTTGATAACCTCCCTGACTACCTTTGTAAAAATATATCCGCTAGTTGACAACCCAAAAGGCAAAACATTATACACATAATATTCATGCTCCCATTTGAAACCTAAATATGTAGTGTCTGCTTCTGCGAGTGGGTTAGTTACGTATTCATCTACCACGCGCCATCCCGCGTCTGATGAATCGGCAAGTTTTATCAGCTTTTGTCGATTTTTAATCAAGTCCATACCTTCAGAAATTTTTCTCTTGGCACTGTTAATGTTTGACTGCGTCAAGTTGTCGGTCTCGAATTCGGCGTGTGCTTCTCTAATTTTAACGAACACTTTCTGGATGTGCTTGTGTTGCTCCTCATTCCCCCTCTTTCGAAATTTGTAATTGTCGGTTAGTGATTCGTCCATTCTTGCTATTTGAGTATCTGACAGCACTTTCTGGTTGTCTTGTATCCTCTTTTGGAAACCCTCCAGACGTGAATCCAGTAACTTCGTCATGTTGTTCAACAACTGGTCCTGCGTAGATTGAACGGCATTTTGTACCTCTGTCTGAATAACTTGCTGTAAATTGGCGTCCATAAGTTTACTCGGTCAATACTGTAACGAAATGTGGGTCCCCTGAATTGCAACTTGTTTCCCCTAAAATTGTGTGATGACGTTGTATCTTACCGATAATTGACTTTTCTTATTATATATTTCTTGTATAACTATGTTTAAACATTGTTAACTCTAAAACTTTTTATCATTCTTGCCTATGATTTTACATAGGAACACCTGTGCATTGTGTACTTAAAATGACGTACAATGACGTCATTACCTATTTTGGTAATCACCAGTTCCGGTTTTGGTAATTTAGGTATTTTCCGAAATGGTAAATGGTAAACCAAATCGGTAAATTGGTTTACCTAAGTATAAATACGGCGGAGAATACAGATAAGTCTTCAGCACAATTTTACCCTGGGCAAGTAACACACGTTAAGTCCAAGCGATTTTGATATACGTACAGATACCATGTACCAGACCAAGTAGTTAACCAGACAGCCAACACTATTACAATGTCCGAGGAGACTACGTCCGTATAATGTGGGTTTGTTAATTCCTTTACAAGTTACATTTAGAGAATAACTTCTCGAGAGAAACTTTATCTTTTGGCATTGAATTTGATTTACCATTTGCCGATCACCAAACTATATTTTTCCGCTATCCATTTTCTTTAATTCCCGATAGGAGGTTAATAAAGTATTTATCTGTTAGACTAGAATACTGTTAAGTTATTTGATATTTATATGTATTGTTGCTATTTAATGCATCTTAAAGATAATACAAGTTGATTTTTATTTAACGAGTCTGTTATTCTTACAAACATCGAGAGTTACCATACAAAAACCTATACTAGTACTCCAATCTACCCTTTTATATCAGAGTCATTACCTTACCAGAGGAACCAAACCTTACCAGTGTGTATTCAGAATACCAGAGTACCACATAGTACCACGATACCAGAGTACCACGCTACCAAAGAAGAGTCACCAGATATAACTTTTATTTTTTATATACTCGTTCATTCTAACATAACACATTCTTATAGCAACGCACTAAGGGATAAACATTTATAGTTTAACACTTAGGCCCGACCGCTCGGTTTTCGTTACAGTGGTGGCAGCGGAGGCACGTACCTACATTTTGATATTCTTTAAATAAGTGTAATTATATTTAAGATAAGACATAAATAAATATAAATAAAATGGATAGCACGGAAAATCAATTTGAAACACCTAGGTTAACTGCCCAGGGTAGACCAGTGCTCCCCCGATCTCGGTCCTGTGAAATTTTCCATGATCTGACGCCGACCGGAGAGATAGGCATAAGAGTGAACCAAGATCAATGGCCCTCACAAGAGAATACGAATAGATACGAAAAGGATGGTATACATCATGCTGACAATAGGCCATTGTCAGGGGATCTATCACCATCAAGGAAAGTGGCCATTGACCAAGCGAAAAACCCGGAAGTTTCAAATAGGGCAACGGTTGTGCATTTGAAAAAAAATGCAGCGCGTACGGTAAAACAGAATTTTGGTGAAGAGTCAAGGACTCTTTTGGACCATGCTGCCAGAGGGTCTAGGTATGGGTTTTGGAGTCAGAAAGCAAGGGATACTGCTGAGGGAGACTCCGGAAATACAAGACGAGTCGCGACGTCTTGTGAATCCGATGCCCGACGGGGTAGATGGGATTCGGGAGATTTACCTAGGACTTTGGACCGGGGCGTACCCCATAATCAGGGGGCAACGTACCAAGCATTACCTTTGACGTCCCGCGGACGATTCAGAGTTGGGGTTAACGGGACCGACCATTAACACCGTACTGATGAAATCCAGTAATTCAAATTATGCTGGCATTAGCTATGAACATAATTTTGAGCGTGATTATGATTTAAACTTACAAAATACAAAATATTACAAAAAGAAACCAGCACTTTATGATGGTGAAAGTAATTGGGAAGACTATTTAGTTCAGTTTGAATTAATTGCAGCAATTAACAAATGGTCTGACATAGAGAAAGCTTTAGAACTAGCTACTAGCTTAAGAAGTACCGCCCAAAGTATTTTAACCGATTTAAGACCAGAGATGCGGACCAATTTTATACAACTGACAACCGCCTTAGCGTCTCGTTTTCAACCAGAAAATCAAGCAGAAATGTACAGGGCGCAAATGAAAAGTAAAATACGCGGACGCACGGAACAAATACCTGTGTTAGGCCAAGACATAAAACGTCTAGTTAGATTAGCGTATCCATCAGCTCCGATAGAGATTAAAGAACAATTAGCATGCGATTGTTTTATTGATTCCCTAAATGATGTTGACATGGAATGGGCTATTTTCCAGGCCAAAGCAAAAAGTATTAATAACGCTATTCAAATAGCTCTTGAATATGAAGCATTCCAAAATGACAGACGTAAACACGGCACTAAGCTAGTTTGTGCTGTAAATGAAAATGATAATTTTGATCTAAATAGGGAAATTTATTTGTCTGAACAAGTTGATGGCATTTCAGGTCGTCTTGCAAAAATAGAAAATAATAGAAAAAAATAAGAAAACTTTTTCTTGTTACCATTGTGGGGTTTCCGGTAATTAAAAGGGAATGTCTCCTATTGAATAACCGATCCCAAAGGTTAGAAGGTAACAGAACTAACAACTTAATTCCAAGAAAAGTGGCAGACCAAATGACTGGTCGGGGAAACTTTTAGTGGCTGAAACTGAGGACCAAGTTTCAGCAGCAACTAAATATGATTTGAAAAATCCAATAATTTTGAGAAATTGAATCAGATAAATATATTCTGAAAATATATATGTACATTTTGTAATTGTCAGTGTTATGACATGAAATTGAATTGTTTGATTGATACCGGGTCCACTGTTAGTGTCCTTAACTCATCCATGTATAATATCATGTCCAAGAGTGTAAAGCCAGTGCTGTCCAATGCACGTAGTGGTTTACGCATGGCTAATGGAAGTGTAGTTATGCCGGTGGGGACTGCTGAATTACCAACGCAGTCGGATAATAAAATTGTGTATCGCCGTCTCATTGTTGCAGACATAGATATACTTGTACCAAGGATTATTGAGTTTGATTTTTAAAGATAAAAGTCCATGTATATTGTATATGGGAAAGAGGATTTTTTTTTAAATTGACGGTCAATTTATTTCAACTTTTTATTAATATTGTTTACATTTATTGATTGTTTAGATATGTAACTTATTTTCAGGATATTCATTTGTACAATAATATTAGTGTTTTATGAACATTCGTCTAGCCGAGAAGATTTGATGGTGCTCTATAAACATTTGTCAAAATACACAGAATTAGTTCCGAATAAAGAAAATTCATCATGCGAAGAAGATGTGTTGGTGCTTTATAAACATTCGTCATTATATGCACACATTAATTAAGTGTGTTTAATGAACATGAATTCGTCCTGCCGAGAAGATTTGATGGTGCTCTATAAATATTCGTCAAAATAAACAGAACTCGTGTTTTATGAACAATCGTTATGAAAAGAAGCGATGTTGGTGCTATATGAACATTTACAAAACTAAAGGATCATAAAGGACAGTGCGGAATTCAAGCTTTGCGTGAAGATGTATATGAACAATGAACATTCCAAAGATTAATTAAACTTGATTAATTATTGTTTTATAATGTTGAATATGTATGTTATAGAATATTTTAATGAATGATATTGAAGAACTTGTTTTAAATTTTAGGAAATGTCTATTCATGTTTGTGGACAAACATTATTTTTCAAAGGTGGGGAGAGTGTAACGAAATGTGGGTCCCCTGAATTGCAACTTGTTTCCCCTAAAATTGTGTGATGACGTTGTATCTTACCGATAATTGACTTTTCTTATTATATATTTCTTGTATAACTATGTTTAAACATTGTTAACTCTAAAACTTTTTATCATTCTTGCCTATGATTTTACATAGGAACACCTGTGCATTGTGTACTTAAAATGACGTACAATGACGTCATTACCTATTTTGGTAATCACCAGTTCCGGTTTTGGTAATTTAGGTATTTTCCGAAATGGTAAATGGTAAACCAAATCGGTAAATTGGTTTACCTAAGTATAAATACGGCGGAGAATACAGATAAGTCTTCAGCACAATTTTACCCTGGGCAAGTAACACACGTTAAGTCCAAGCGATTTTGATATACGTACAGATACCATGTACCAGACCAAGTAGTTAACCAGACAGCCAACACTATTACAATGTCCGAGGAGACTACGTCCGTATAATGTGGGTTTGTTAATTCCTTTACAAGTTACATTTAGAGAATAACTTCTCGAGAGAAACTTTATCTTTTGGCATTGAATTTGATTTACCATTTGCCGATCACCAAACTATATTTTTCCGCTATCCATTTTCTTTAATTCCCGATAGGAGGTTAATAAAGTATTTATCTGTTAGACTAGAATACTGTTAAGTTATTTGATATTTATATGTATTGTTGCTATTTAATGCATCTTAAAGTTAATACAAGTTGATTTTTATTTAACGAGTCTGTTATTCTTACAAACATCGAGAGTTACCATACAAAAACCTATACTAGTACTCCAATCTACCCTTTTATATCAGAGTCATTACCTTACCAGAGGAACCAAACCTTACCAGTGTGTATTCAGAATACCAGAGTACCACATAGTACCACGATACCAGAGTACCACGCTACCAAAGAAGAGTCACCAGATATAACTTTTATTTTTTATATACTCGTTCATTCTAACATAACACATTCTTATAGCAACGCACTAAGGGATAAACATTTATAGTTTAACACTTAGGCCCGACCGCTCGGTTTTCGTTACAATACGAAGGCTAGAAGTGAAGTTACCACACAAAAAAACACCTTATATATGACCACAACTCAGCCCCCTGATTGGATAGATGTACATCGGCCTACTGAAAATTAACGATTCCATACCGAGAATACAACATTTTCCCGCTATACTGATCGAAACGCGGGAAAATATTATTATCGCAGGCATTCCGGCGTTACTCGGCAAATTCCGGAAAATATACCTCAATGGTACGTTTTCAGTGAAAACAAATTAAAGTAGGGTACAATTATTAGGAAACGAAAATATATTATGTAAAATGCAAAAAAAACAAAAAAAAAAAACAAATGATACAATAAATGCATTTTTCAAAGTCTCCAGCATAATTTAGAAAGTTACTTTACAAATGTTGACTTTTCCAAACAGTGTTCATTATGTTTTGTTGATTTTTTTTTATCGTCAATATAAAAAATATATGATATTGTTGTTTTTCTCCTCTGTTGAGGCATATGATAGACAGCTAGACTTCATTTCGAATGTATTACATTTGGCGTCCGACCTTCGGCTCTTGGGCTGATATTGAACTTTGGGCTGATAATACATCTGATAAGAAAAATGCCATGTAATAATCTGATATTCTCTAACTTATTGTTTTGCAAATGTTTACTAACAAACTTTTCGTAGGCTTCATCTAGGTTTGTAACAGAGGTAATAGTTATGAAGCATGGAAGCATGCAGCAGGATTACCGTTCAACTTGTTTTTTTGTCAGTCGTTAATACTTACCATTCATTTTTTTTTTTTAAATTTCGAATCTTCAACTTCCTATTTCTCAGCAGACAATAACATATAAAAGCGTCTGAGGTCAATTTTGTCCATCATTATCTGCTGAGAGTGCTGTTCATAAGAATTCCTTAATGGTTGTTGCCACTAAATCAAACTCAATATCATGTCCATATCCGCTTTGAATAAACATTTGCTAAGATTTTCCCTTTGTGGACATATTGTTGGTGTATTTGATTTCTCCCTTGTAAACCTTTTATTAATTTATTAGATACAGAAATTTAATTTGATTGGTATATGCGTTATCAAATTGTTATTAAACTAATAGTTTATTTTTGCTTAGAAAATGGACTGGTATCCGAAATAGGGACAAAAGCCTTTGAAAGCATATTCCATATACGATATCTTCCTCCGGTAATGACGGAGAAGAACAACACAGTTCGATTCTCAACAACGTCAACTCATTCCATAGTTTCAACACGTCAAAATATTCACGCAGTATCTACAAGCAATTCAAATGGCAATACAGTATCTTCCAGAAGTATCATTGTGACGTCCACCAGAAAGCCGATTAGTGTAGCAAATGTCGTCTATCAACCAGTTTGTTACAATTGTTTTCAACCATCGTTATCTCTTATACTGGTAATCGATAATACTGGTTCTATGAGTGACGACGTTTTCCAAGTAAGGAAGCAAGCTATAGAAATAGTGAAAAAGGCATACAGTTTACAGGAAGGCCTCTCCAACTACATATTTGTAACATTTAATGATCCTGGTAAGCAAAAAGATAAAGATTGTAGCTTACAAAAATGAACTGAAACGTAACTTCCTTTTAATGAATATTCAATTGAAAAGCCTTCAGTATTTATTCACTCGAGAAGTGAGTTTTTTAAAAAAAGCAAAGCGTGCAAATATTTTGATAAATTTTGAAAATATTACTATAACTTGTTTATAAATATCCTTAATAATGGGACAACGTGATCGTTAGTTCTATATTCCGAAATTCTATTACCGAATGTTTTCTTTGAAATGTTTTAAACTGCTATAAGATATGTGAGGGAATTCGATTTGATTTACCACGGTTGACTTAGAAGCACTTTAGACAATACCATTGAATTAATGAGAATGAAATTGTTTGCATTATTTACAGAAATGATTCTACACAAAATATATTGAATATAAAAATAAGGAGATGTGGTATGATTGCCAATGAGACAACTATCCACCAAAGTTCAAATGAAGTGGATGTAAGCAATTATAGGCAACCGTACGGCCTTCAACAATGAGAAAAACCCATACCGTATGGTCGGCTATAAAAGGCCCCGACATGAAAAATATGAAACCATTCAATTGAGAAAACTAACAGCCTAATTTATAACAAAACAATTTACGAAAAAAAAATATGACAGACATGAACCAACGATAACCACTTAACTACAGGCTCCTGACTTGGGACAGGCACATAAAGAATGTGGCGCGGTTAACATGTTTGTGAGCGCTCAACCCTCCCCTAACCTGGGACAGCGGTGTAACAGTACAACATAAGAACAAACTATAAAAATCAGGTGAAAAAGGCTTAACTCATCAGATGGATACAAATAGAAATACATTTAACAAAAACACAGAGTAGACGTGGACGGGTACTTATACATGCCCACAACAAAAAGAAACTTAGTACAAATCTGAGAGTAACTTGTTCAAATAGCATATTACATAAGTGGAGGGTAAAGTTAAGGATGATACTAGCTTTTCCACTGTTTTCGAGAAGATCCTGTATAAGGTGTACGTAATACAAATTATAATACACGTCATTGAAAAAGAGGATCTCAGTTGATTCTATTGTCTATAAAAAATATATTGACAAAAAAAAAACAAAAAAAAAACAGCCCAAGGTTAAAGATAAACAAGGGTTCAATCACGTATGAACTAACTGTTATCCGAAGTCACACATCACACAAAAAGTATTTATATGACAAACCCGAATAAATCACCCAATAAAATTTTTTTCAGAAGACGTCTCAGCATATGTTATATAAAAATGCACAAACGTTTCCAATTCTATTTGTACCCAAACCACGGTTTTCGTTTCCATGTTTCTTAGTGAATCTATAGAAGGGTTTTTGCTAAAAACAAAACATCTGAATATATTCTACACATTAATGATATTCATGATTACGAATTTGTTTATTTACAGTATCCAAAAATACTTTTTACAAAACATTAGATGGACAGCAAATAATCAACAGATTAAATCAGTTAGCAGTAGATGGGGGAGACGATTGTCCAGAATACGCATTCACTGGACTACACACTGGTTTGTCATAATTTGCCGGAATATTTACAACATTTAAAAAATTTCATTTATGATCGTAGAAAAAAAAAACTTTCAACTGACATATCTGAGATAAGTTAAAATTGTTATAAGTGATTTTAAAATAAATTTTTACTTATTTTATATTGATACATTAGTCTTTTCTCATACGCGTGAGATGTTTAGCTACATGTAGCTATGAAATCAGGTTTAACGCACCAATTTCTACATAAGGAAATGCCTGTACCAAGTCAGAAACATAACAGTTGTTTTACATTCGTTTGATGTTGCCATTTGATAAAGGACTTTCCGTTTTAAATTTTCCTTTGAGTTCGGTATTTTTGTAATTTTACTTTTTTTCTATCGTTATAGCCATTACGCATGCAAACAATGGATCTTGTGTATTTTTGTTTACTGATGCTGACCCGAAAGACTATTTCTTATGCGAGTCAGTCGGCCGTCTGATTGAACAGAAAAATATACATCTAGTTACATTTCTAACGGGAGTTTGCAATGGAGAACTAGTGAAAGGGAAGTCAAGTGACTGTATCCAGACAAAACAACAGCCTATCAGTTGTTCTTCACGTATGTAAAGTTATCAGAAAGCATATATGAATCTTTTTAGAGGATAAGTCCACGGGTGTACCACTTTTCGCTCCATAGGCAGTTTTGTTGTCCTTGAATTGTTTTCATGATACACTTTCACTTAATCTAAATTATGTACTTGATCTAAAACTTTCCAACTTTCTTAATCATCATAGAAGGTTTTGGCTTAAACTTATCTGTTTAAATGGGTTATTTTTTATTGTTTGGTATCTCTAACTTTTGGTCGTGCACCTGGTAGAGTGATTCCAGACGTACCTGTCGTACACACGGTAACATACATTAACAATAATAATGATAATTCCACACATGAAAGCAATAATATGTTAAGTGAATATCCCATAATTAATGGATCAATATTACTATGAATATAAAACATGTATAATTTAAGATTTCAATAAAGATAACGTTAATCAAGAATTTTTCTTTTATTAGTACCGGTATGTGGTATATATGATACAGTGAAGTTGTATAATCAGGGATTATATAGAATCCCTGATTTTTCAGGGATTTTGCATATAGACCCTGAAAATGATCAGTGGTTTTACATAATCACTGCAATTTTAAAAAATATTTTATTTTTGCTTGATTTTCATTGTTTTTTAAATTGGCGTATTAAGGGGAGGTAACTCTGAAATAGTACATTTTCTAAAGGAGTCTACATAAAATTTTGCTATTCTATGTTTCAGCAGAAAAAAACGTACGGTGACCCTATCTTTTCTTTTGACATTCTGAAAGCATTTTCTAAAAGCTATCTTCTAGTATTTTATTTTACAATTCTATCATTAAGTTTGTTTATTCCTGTATAATCCATACAAAATGTGTCATTTTTTTCATAACCTGTAGCTTGAGAAAAGGCTCGGTGACCTATCAGTTTTATTATATGTTTAAACATATCACAATATATACTACGTTTTGGCAAAGTATGAAAACATTCTATCATTTTTAATTTATACTCCCATACCACCTTAACTTTTATTCATTGTCTCTTCATTCCAGTTCATATGTATAATCCCTGAC